GTCTAGCCCGCCAAGGGCGCGATCCCCTTTTCCCGGCTCCGTAACGGCCAATCAGCTCCGTCTCCTTCTCCGGACTGACTCTGCCAGCTGCGCTTGGCCTGAGGTTAACTAGGCCCAGCTCCTTGGGCCGGCCCAGCTTGAGTATTTCACAGGTGCTTGACCCGAAGCTGTTTAAATGGTTCATTTGGGCCGTCCTCTGAATATCGGCCCATCATAAGCCCCCCAACTCCTCAGTCCTCAGCTGGGCCAAGCGGAGGAGTAGGGAGTTTGCAATGTCCACGTGGACGCTCCAGCGGGGATCCGGGCCGTTCCTTGGGTTCCGCACGACACCCACGATCTCCACAAATAAGTAATCATGGCCTGCCGATTCCCCTTCCTGTTGTTAGTTAAAAACCGCCGCTGGACGCCATCTCTTCCTTTCGCCTTCTTCACCACCGTTCGTCTGCAACTCCGCTGCTCACCCGACTCGTTCTTCTTCCTGTCCAGGTCAGTTCCTTCTCTCGCCGCCATGATTGTCTCAGATTCCGATTCGGCTACCCCATCGTCCAATTCTCGCCAAGCCGGTCAATCGGCCTCTGACCGTAACCCCGGCCACACTCCATCACCCCGGCCGTCGCCGTCGGCCGTGCCTGGCCACAAACGGCGTCGATTGAGGAAGCAATACCCTTCCTTAACTCCGGTAGATGAGGGCTCAAGGGTTGAATTGGACGAAAACATCATGGCGTTGTGCCATTGTCAAATTACTGACCGGGGGTTCGCCGATGCCACCAACATGGTTGGACCCTTCATCGAGGTCATGAGACCTACCAGTACTCAAACTGCTCTAGACGCACTGTCGGGGTTCTTCACGGTCCATCTGGCGTCTTTGAAGAAGGGGCTGCGCTTCCCACTCCACCCGTTGTTGATCGAATTCCTCAACGTGGTGGACCTTCTCCCGTGCCAACTGGTCCCCAACTCTCACCGGTACTTCGCCGGTTACCTGGTCCGGTGCAAAGATGTAGGGGTGATGCCGACCTTGGACCATTTCATATTCACCTTCAAACTGACCAATGGCCATAAAGATTGGGCGTCCTATGCCAGTCTTTCCCAGAGGTCCAGTAAACTCTTTGCTAGTGATAAGAAGGGGTCAACCAAAGACTGGAAGCCTTTCTTTGTCTTCGTTTCGACGGGGCCCGAATCTCCTTTCACGGGTTCAGGGCGCCCTTCCTTCCGTCGCATCCCACGCCCCCCACCTGATGCCACCCTTTTGTCTATCACTCGCCAATTCTGCAATAAGGGAGTTATGAACATCAAAGAGGTGGTGACAGAGGAAACCCTTGCCGGGTTGGGGTTCGAGTTTGTCCAGGATGAGCTTCGCCACCAACCCGACCTACTGAGGGACATCCCCGGGGGGCATCAGCCTGACTAGCTGAAGGACATTCCTGAGGAAGGTCTTGACTGTGGTCCTTTCGGTAGGTGACCTTTTCTTTTGCCCAGATGTTTAGTTTATCTTTTCCCAAGGCTAACCATTTCCTTTGTTTCCAGTGAAATTACAAGATTCAGGAGAGGAGATGGACAGCGATCTCCTGCTCAGTCGCTTCACTGCAGGGAGGAAAAAGAAGAGAGAGACGAAGGGCCAGGGCAAACGTTCTTCATCCCACCACGAGGAGGGTCCTTCTTGAGAGCCGGCCGTAATTGTGGTGGAGGACCAAGAAGATGCTACCCCCTCCACACCCCGTGATGCAGGGTGGCGACCTCGTTGGGTCGTCTCAGGGCATTGCCTTGGAGCGACCTCCATCACCACCCGCAGTGACCTACGAGGTGGCGACCGGGGGTCGCTCGACGAGGCTCTGCATCCCTCCCCTGCCCCAAAGCCTAGGGGACGTACAGCTGGAGACTCTTATCACTTTGCCTGCAGACGATCAGGCTCGTATCTCGGCAGGCTCCGTGGACGACCTTGACAACATGGTCCTTTTGAGGCTCAGTCAGGTACTGGTCTTGATCTCCTATGCATCACTCCTTTTCTTTAGGCCCCTAACCCTCACCCCTTTGCGCAGGCTACGCTGGGGATGATTGAGGTGGTCGGCCAGAAACGGGGTCGCCAGGCCGCCGCGGACGAGGCGATGAAAGCAGCCGAGGCCAAGCAGAAGGAGCTGCAGGAGGAGGTCGCTCAACTCACCAGGGAGTTGGAGGAGAAAGAAAATCGCTGCGCGGCGCTTGCTGCGGAGAAAGCTTCCCAGGAGAACCGCTGCGTCGCCCTTGAGGCAAACAAGGCCTCCTTGTCCTTGGAGGTAGAATCTGTTTCTGCTCGAGTGGTCGAGCTGGAAGGGGAGAAATATGATCTGATCCAGCAGTTGGAGGTGGAGAGGAGCGATCGGGTCCGCCATGCAGAGGGAGCGGTAGAATCCTTCAAGTCCTCTCCTGACTTCACGGTAGTCGCGATGGAGCGGATGGAAGAGCTAACGGCCGCTTGGCTCAAAACTGAACCTGGGGCTCAATGGATGGTCAAGGAGGGAACCAAGTCCTTCAATTGCAGACTCTTCCATGCCCAACAGGTCTTCCACGACAGACTGGCCCAGCTCCCTAAAGGATTCTCTCTCCCCGACCCTTGGCTTCCCTCCTCCCTGCCGCTCCTTGGCCGAGTTCAACCCCAGTCCCTATCTGGACGGGGGGAGCTCGAGCGCGTCGGAAGAAGAGGAAGAAGAAGAAGTGGAAGGTGGTCAGAGCGACCAGAATCCAGGGGCCAGCTTAGCCACATCCAATGCGGGTGGACCTTCCGGCTCGGCCGTCTAAATCCCCCATTGTTCCCCCATAGCTTTACCAACACTTGCCTCTCTCTTTTCCTTCGGAATGATTTGTCGTTTTGATACAATGCTCCTATGTTGTTTGATTTTCTAGATTCACCATGTGCTTTCTCTCTTTGGCACTTTACTTCAGCACTCTCTTTTTTTGATTTAGCTGGTTAACATGTATGTTTTAGTTTGGGCCCAACTCCTAGTCCCGGCCCGTTTACCTGTCCGGGCTTAATCTCTGGATTGGCCATCGTGCCGCCCAATTGATCCAATGCCCTTCATCGTTTCTGATTGGACCTTTGCGCGGCTCAAAGCTGCTTTATTGGTTCGGCTGCCTCAAGACTTGACCGCCTCTTCGGTTCCTTCGCCCTGGCTTATTTATAAGTCCCCCTGGCTGCTCCATCACCAAATACCCTCCTTTTCTCCATTCTTCCCATGTCTGAAGGAATTCCTGTTTCTCTAGATCTTTCCGACGGGCCGGCTCCTTCTTCGACGGAGCCTGCCTCCTCCCCCAAGTCAGTCAATTCCAATGACTGGGGGGGCTTGACCCTTACGAATTCTGTCGCCGGTTGCCTCGCCGGCAGTGGCCGTCGGTGAAACCGCCGCCACCACCTCCAAACCCTTATGAAGACTTCGGTGAGGCGTACGAGGCCCTCTCCGCCAACCGCCTGCCTGACGGGTGGATTGACTGGGATGCTCCATGCCCCCTCCATTCCCTGCAATGTATGGCCTGGGAGAGCTTTCAAGATGAGCACTTACCCCTCCTGGAGCATGAGTGCGCATACTACGCAAGTTTTGAGCGTTGGACTAGCGACAGTCGCACCAGTTCGCCGGTGAGGCCTACGGAGGAGGTTGTGTTAGGGGAAGAACTGGGTTCTCCCCTACCTCGCCCCGCTTGCCATTCACTTCCCCAGAAGACCCCTAGGCGACCTGAAGTAGCTCGGGCGGCTCCAGGATCTCCGTCCTCGCCTAGGTGATGCTGGTTGGGGTTCACAGAGAAGTGAGCCGTCCCCCGTCCTTCCTTGGTAGGAGAAGGGCGGTGGGTTTTTGTCGTGGCTGGGTGCGACCACTCCCGTTCCATGTTGGGGAAGAAAGGTGGTCGTCCTGGACGGCCGGTGATCGGAGTTTTGCCTGCCTATACAGCCGCAGAACTACCTTTCAAACCTGCCTGTCCCCCTAGGCCTTCGCTCGCAAAGTCTTAGATTGTTGTTTTTCATTGTAGGAGGTGTATGGGGAAGTATCCTTTCTTACGTAGAGATTGTTCTCAACTATACTGTAGTAGATGCAAGAGATTATCCTTGAAATGTAATGAACATTTCTGTGAATGTATTTTGATGTTACCTGTTTACTTACAAGTTTCACCTTCTTCTCTTTCGCATCCTACTTTTGACGTTCAGGTTTCCTCGGACTTGAATCAGAGAATACCTCGCCTCTTTTGACTTAGCCACTTTCGGGTTACTTTGACCCTTGTGGCGTCGCCATACCCCCAAGATCCCCTGGTCGCTCATGCGATCAACAGATCTTGTGTTCTAGACTTAGCCGTTCTCTTAGACTTTCTTGCCACGGCGTCCTCTTCAACCTTGGTCGCTTGACAGGGTTCGACGCTTCACCCATTACTGGGTGTCTTAGCACGAATCACCGTGCAATTTGATGAACATTTCTGTGAATGTATTTTGATGTTACCTGTTTACTTACAAGTTTCACCTTCTTCTCTTTCGCATCCTACTTTTGACGTTCAGGTTTCCTCGGACTTGAATCAGAAAATACCTCGCCTCTTTTGACTTAGCCACTTTCGGGTTACTTTGACCCTTGTGGCGTCGCCATACCCCCAAGATCCCCTGGTCGCTCATGCGATAAACAGATCTTGTGTTCCAGACTTAGCCGTTCTCTCAGACTTTCTTGCCACGGCGTCGTCTTCAACCTTGGTCGCTTGACAGGGTTCGACGCTTCACCCATTACTGGGTGTCTTAGCACGAATCACCGTGCAATTTGAGCGATCTCTTGTGGTCGCTCCCTTTTTTTTTGAGAATTGGAGACAAGATGTGCCAGAGAGCTGGATTTATTAAATCTCAAGAAAAAGACATGGCTGGAATACAATCTATTGATAAAATTTAATAAGGTTGGAAGCATTCCATACTCGCGGAACGTCGCCACCGGTTGGAGTCTGCAATCTAAATGTCCCATCAGCCAACACCTCCTTTATGATATATGGCCCCTCGAAGCTTTTAGCAAACTTTCCTCCATCGGTCGGCCGGCTGACCTCCCTCTTCCGAAGGACCCAGTCGCCCATCTTGAACTGCCTTGGTCGCACCCGCTGGTCGTGATATGACTTGACCTGCCGGAGATAGTTTTCTGCCCGCATATATGCCCTTTCCCTTCGCTCATCAATGAGGTGCAGCTCCGCCCTCAGGTTCTCCTCATTTCCTTGAGCATCAAAGGTCTCTACTCTATAACTTAACAATGAGGTCTCCGCTGGAGCCCTTGCTTCAAATCCATATGTGAGCGAGAAAGGAGTTTCACTTGTTGCCTTCCTTGGGGTAGTTCTGTAGGTCCACAAAAT